CCAGCCCCACCCTTGGGTGTCAGCCACCTCAGCTTTCCTGGCCTCCACATCCATATGTCCCAAGCACGGATATTGCTACCTCGTTAGCCTAGCACTCAAAAAATGAAAAAAAGAAAAAGGTTGCCAGGTGTAGCACTCTTGGGGGTCTAGGCAGGTGGATTGCCTGAGCTCAGCAGTTCAAGACCAGTCTAAGCCAGAGTGAGGCCCCGTCTCTAAAAATAGCTAGGCATTGAAGTGGGCACCTGTAGTCTCAGCTACTCGGGAGGCTGAGACAAGACGATCACATGAGCCCAAGAATTTGAGGCTGCCGGGAGCTATGACACCATGGCACCCTATCAAGGGTGACAAAGTGAGACAGTCTCAAAAAAAAGGTGTCAAGTTCATGTTTGGACCAGAGCCTGTCCAGCTGTGGCCTGCACAAAAAATAATAAAAATAAAGATAATGCTGGCTTTGGTTTGCTAAGTAGCTATGATGTATTAGGTGCCCTGGTAGGTGTTCACCTATGATCTGATCCCCACAGCATCCTGCAAGGTGGGTGGGGCCCTCACCTCCACTTTACAAGTAAAGGAAGCAGGGGTTCAGACAGCTCCAGGGACTTGCCCACAGTCACACAGGATTCCCGCAGCAGAGCTGGGGCCACTCCCAGGTGTGCTGGTTCCATAGCTGTGCTTCCCACTGTCCTGCTCTGCCAGGTGTGAGGAGCAAGCAGGGAGGAAGCCTGTTTCCTGGTTGGGACCATCCACTCTATTCCTGCCACCTGGAAGACAGGGCTCATGCAGTTCCCCCCACCCCCCTGCCAACAACAAGAGCAGAGTGGACTGAGTCAGAAGAGGACACAGCCCTCCCCCATGCCCAAGCCCAACCTGTCTGCTCCGTCATCACAGCCACTTCTCCCAGGAGTGGCCTCACCTAGGCATACTCTGCATTCTTCATTTCCTTCTCTTCCAGGCAGTTGAGGGCTTAAACTCAGGGCTGCTAGGTTGGCTGGACAGGGATGACTGCTGGATAGAAGGATGCCTGGGCCCAATGTCCTGTGCTGCTGTCAGACTGCTCCCTCTCAGTCCCAGAGCCCCCAGAGGCCCACCCTACACAAACCCCACACAAGAGCACCACGTCAAACTAAGTCTGCAAAACTTCACAGGCCTTTGCCTCCTCCTGGAGTCTCACCACCTTCCTTCACACTCACTCAGCTTCCTGTTTATTTGGCCATGGCCCCTCTCCTGCAGATCCCTACATCCTAGATTTCTGCCTCACCCCACCTCTGCAGCTCCTGCCAATTCTTCGTCTCTGTGCCTGTCCCAGCCCCCTTGGGGCCCAGGCTCCAGCCTGACCTGCTGTAATCCACTGTGTGCCCATGCCCCCTAGCCCTGAGCCCACCTGCAGGAGCTAGCACAGCCAGCTTCCCCTTGAACCCCATGGCTGGCAACTTCCGGGGAGGAGAGACCGAGCAAGAAGATGAAAGAGGGTCACAGCCAAGGCCCCATGGAAAAAGCAAGCAAGCTACAAGCAGCACACACTAGGAGGTACTATTTTGTGGTTGTTTAAAAATCGAAAAAAAATGGGCAGTGCCTGTGGCTCAGTGGGTAGGGCGCTGGTCTCATATACCGAGGGTGGTGGGTTCAAACCCAGCCCTGGCCAAACTGCAACAACAACAACAACAACCAACAAAAAATAGCCAGGCACCTGTAGTCCCAGCTACTTGGGAGGCTGAGGCAAGAAAATTGCCTGGAGGTTGCTGTGAGCTGTGACACTATGGCACTCTACCAAGGATGACAAAGTGAGATTCTGTCTCTAAAAAAAAAAAAAAAAAAAAAAGGAAAAAGACCTATCTGCATGTCTGTATATAGAAAAACACGAAAGACATACCTCAAAAGGTTTTTTTTAAAGAAAAATATTTTAATGTGGGAAAATCTTTACCATATAGAGAGCAGATTATGAAACAATGTATTTCATGATTGCTTTTAAAAAATGTAAATGTAGGGCGGCGCCTGTGGCTCAAAGGAGTAGGGCACCGGCCCCATATATTGGAGGTGGTGGGTTCAAACCTGGCCCTGACCAAAAACTGGAAAAAAAAAATCTATATGTATAGCTATGCATAGAAAAATAAGAAATAGTACAAACACCCAAATGTTAACAGAGATAGTGTGTCCCTAGGTGGGAAAACCTGCACATAGTGAACTGTGTGCATGTACGTGAACATTTCCATGTTATCCAGCTTTCCAGAAATAACATTATTTCATTCGACAGAGAAAGAACATCAAATCTCTTTATGTTGTGAAATCATCTGCCGTGTTTCCCCAAAAATAAGACACTGTCTTATACTTATTTTTTCTCAAGAAGACACACTAGGGCTTATTTTCAGGGGATGTCTTATTTTTATTAAGTATAATACAACAATCTACATTTATTCAAATACAGTTAAGTGATTTGCTTCTGGAACCTGATAGGGAGAACCAACCTTGTTGGTGGGGCTGGCACTAGTGATACGTGAACTCCTTTCCCCTAGCCATTCCCACGTGTGTAATAGGATACCTGCAGATGTGCGACTGCAGTTACCACCTGCGCACCCCTGCAAGTGCAAGCTCGGAGAAAGGAGCTATGGCAGATAAAAGGTATTTCAGTCTTCCTTACTGCTCTGTGCTGAAATGAAGGGCATGGCTCTGCAGATATGCTGCATAGCCACACCCATCACTAGGTCTTATTATCAGGGTAGGACTTATATTAGCAAATGCCTAGAAATCCTGCTAGGGCTTATTTTTTGGGTAGGTCTTATTTTGGGGGAAACACGATACTATTAGTTTTAAAACCTAAAAATAATGAGACTGCTAGTTCAGTGTACTTTTCACACATATATACTTTTGTTTGGGGAGAGGGGAAGGTGAGTTGTCTCCAGAGAAATTAACTTACATGTTATCAAAAGACTCTATGTCTAATATATTAGTCTTTAAGAAAGGGAGAAGAAAATATCAATTAGATCAACTTCAAATGCTAACGGTGATGTTTTACTGTTTACTTAATTAAATTTAACTCTTTTTCTTTGAAAAAAATGTTCAGATATGAAATCTGACTGAAAATACATTTCGGTCAGATGTATGCATGACAGGAAGGGCTCTATTCTGTGTCATGTGCTTCCAAGTGCAGTGACTGCTTCCCACTTTCCTCTCCCTCAAAATGTTAGTAGTGACTATCTGAAGCAGGGGTCAGCAAATTTTTTTCTGCAAAGAGCTAGGGAGCAGCTAAAGGTTCCACCACTTGCCAATGGCCAATTTAATCATGCCTACATAATGAAGCAACCAAAAAACCCATAAAGCACAGTGTTTAGAGAGCTTCTGGGCTGCTGAACATATGGAGGGTGCATGCCCAGAGGGGTCAGGGGCCCTCTGCAACCCTCCCATACTTTGCTCCATGCCTCTCTTTCACCTGGCTGTTCCTGCATTGCATCCTTTTCTAATGAACCAGGAATCTAGTGAGCAAACTGCTTTCCTGGGTTCCATGAGCTGCTCTGGCAAATTACCGAACCTGAGATGGGATCATGGCAACATCTGATTTGTAGCCAAGCTGTACAGAGATAACCTGAGGTCCTACTGCCTGTGACTGCTGTCTGAAGGGGAGAGTCTTGTGGGACTGAGACTGCGGGGGGGGG